TTTTTTCTGAAAAAATTGTTACATACATTGTTGTTTTGGTAGACTAAAATCTTACTCGGTAAGTAAGCGATATAGTTGAATTTTAATGTTAAGCGCTTACCGGAGCGTTTAGGCAAACGGTCCCTAAGAGTATCTCTAACATTTATGTTATTTTAGAAAATTTAAACATTTAAAAAAAGTTTTCCTGACAGTTATGTTCAACTCTTTTTTTTTTCTTTTTAATTCAAGGATGAATAAAAATACTCTTATGACCATAAAAGTTCAAATGCAGTGACTCCGAGCTATCTGTAAAGCAGACGGTCGCTCTAAGATGATTTGAACTCTCTTTTGAAATTAAAAAAAGAAAAGAAAAAGAAAATCTCTAAATATATATATATATATATATATATATATATATATATATAAAGAACAACCCTTTACATTTGTACAACCAATACAACTCAATCTTAACCGTCTATTTAATTTAATGAATATGTAATTTTATATAAATTTTGATTGTTTCCTAATATAAAGTATTGATCATAATTAATGAATCGTATTCATCTTCCATAAATATTTAAATCATAATAAATAAACTCTCACAATTTTCATAAATATTTCAATTTATTGGATTGCATTGATTATACAAAAAACGATGGGTTTTACAATCTCTCTCTATATCCCTTTTCTTCTTTTTACTTTGATTTTAGTTTAATATTCCACTCCACCATTTTTAATTTATTCCCTTTTTTGACCAAAATTGTTTAAAAGGCACATAATATACAACTTTTATCCAACAACGTATGATTTATGGAATTATTATTTGTGTACCATTTTTTTGATATATAATTATGACATTGTTTTATATTTGTCGTAATAATAAAGCGTGAGATTTTTTCTAAGCATTATCTATCATAATATTGTTGATTTGAATGTTATTGATAAAGTAGTCATACATATCATGAGATCTTTGAGAATTAGTGCATTATGTGTTATTTTATATGATTTTTTCTGTTTATGACTAGAATTTGATGTAGTGATTGACATATATTCAATGTGAACCTTTTCGACGTGATTGTGGAAAAAAAATATGTGTAAAAGAATTTCATATTGTGAACCGAATACATATGAAACAAACAGATTGTGAAACAAATATATGTTAATCAATACATTAAATATATACTTAAATGAAAAAAGATAATGTGAAACAAAACCTTAATATAGAAGTTCTCATGAAACACACAAATTTTGGAGTTTTGAAACGATTAAACCCTTATAAGTATAATCAGGGTCAAACGACAATGGTGACCAAATAAAAGAACATGAGAACAGATGAATCACATGTGATTTTACATTAACCTCACGTGTAAAATCATATATGACGACCTTGGTCGCGCCCTAAGTTGCAGGGCAAATCAACCGTACACTCTTACTTTGACCATGTTCCATAATCGCATGTTATTTCGGTGCAAAATCATATGTGATTTGACGCTCTCATATTATTTTATTGTGATTATGTTCTCGTTAGATTTTATCTCTATTATACAAATGTCCATATCATACATATGAATAGTATTACGCTGAAAATGTGTAATCAACAGTTACGCATAGTTCCTACTTTTCCCACAGAAAGTTAAGTTTTTATCAGCCAAAGGGCATTTGGCCTAGCGGTATCATAGCCTTTGGCCTCCTAGAAGAAGTCCAAAGAATCAAACCTCACCATAGGTGAGGAAGGTGTGTAAGTTTATTTGTTGCATTTGTCGTATATAAATATCATATACTTAAAAACAGACACATTAGTTTATATAAAAGAAAATCTATTAATTGAATTCGACCATCGGGTATTTTGGTAATAGACACTACTAATGTTCAACTTACGAACAAAATGATTTCTTGAATAGTTGTTTTCAAACTTCATTTTCAATGAAATAAATACTAATATGAGGATTCTTACGTTCAAGGACGCATCCATACGGTTCTAACTGCAAAACTTCTTCAGCGTAGTGTAATTTATTTACAGTGCTTAAGAGACGCTGCAAAATGTTTATAGATCCATCTCTGTTTATATTCCTAGAATTAATTTATCAAAATTTAAATATTCCGACACATGAAACAAATAAAGAATAAAAAGATGGGATATAATATAATATGAAATGATATGATATGATAAATAATAAAAGTATGAGGCAGGGGTTGAGATGAGATTGAAGGAATCCGATGGCAAGATTTTATTCAACTCTCATGTGGTTGTAGTTGTAGTTGTAGTTGTAGTTGTTGCCTTTAACATATCCTCTGGATTTTGGGTCTCCTCCATCACATCTATATCTTCTTCTGCTTTTTCCTTCTTTATCTATACATATATCTATATCTTTATATATATGATTGAGTTCATATGAGACCAGCCTGTTTTTATGAGACCCGTAAGACTACTTTTTTACACTTGAAACTTCGCAACAAAACGTTGTGAAAGTAACATTCACAGTGTTTTTGCTGTGAAGGTTCGACTTTTTTTTTACCTTCACAACGTTTTGCTGTAAAGCTTCAAGTGTGAAAAAGTGGTCTCACGAAAACATGTTGGTCTCACGTGAACCCAACCCTATATACATACATATGTATATAGACTTGGGATCATGTGAGACCAATGGTTTTTCATGAGACCCCTAAGACCAATTCTCAACCCTTGGATTAGATTTACAATCGTCAGATCTGAACATTTATAAACGCCATGAGACTTCTCACTAATTACGAAATTGCCACCTTGCAACTTTGCAACCATTAGATCATTAATTCATAAATTTGATCAATGAACACAAATTGGTCTTACGGGTCTCACGAAAAACCTTTGGTCTCACGTGAACCCAACCCTATGTATTATACAATATATATATATATATATAGAGAGAGAGAGAGAGAGAGAGACGTGAGTTATCATACAACCCGTTACATTTGTACAACCAATACAATTCAATCTCAACCGTCTATTTAATTTGATGAATATGTAATTACATAGAAGTTTTGATTGTTTTCTAATATAAAATATTGATAATAATTAATGAACCTTATTCATCTTCCATAAATATTTAAATCACAATAAATGAACTCTCATCATTTCCATAAATATTTCAATTTATTGGGTTGCATTGGTTGTACAAATGTGATAAGTTGCATTTGAAACAATCTCTCTCTATAAATTGTATGAATGTTATAAATTGATGGAAAAAAGGAAAGAAATTAAATGACATCAAATGAAGGGCAATATTGTAATAAATTGTGATTTATTTTGGAAAAGTAATCGTCATCAGTTTATCCCTTAAATTCGACCTTATCTCCCCATTCTCTGCGTATAATTTCTTTTCTCAAGGTAACCAAAAAGGGAGTGGAATAATTACCGTAGTTTAAACAAAGTTCATAAGTGAACCCATAAAATTCACACATTAAATAATGATTTTTGCTTAAAGTTTATACATAAAATAATGATTTATGTTTAAAATTCATAAGTAAATAACTAATTTTATTTAAAGTTTATAATATTCTATAATGTCGTTTCTTTGGTTGTTCCTTTTTTTATTACCAAAAATCTTAACCAAAACCAGAAAGTCCATCGCAATTTGTATGGTAATTTATTTTAAATGGTAAGTTGGATGAGATAATTAAGGAATGTGATATCAATATATGAAAAAGATAAAAATACTCCGATTAGCACATGTTGATCAGATGGTTAACAAAAGAAGATGTCTGTGTGTGTATATAAAAATCTTGGATTCCGTAGGCATAGGTTGTGTTTTTAAGTTGGCATAAAGCATCATAACGCTCGTATTAAGTTTTAGCATGCAATCAGATATTGTATTTCATGTTGTATCATGCAATTTGTTGACGTTGTGTCATTAGTTAATTAAATTTACCATATCGATTTTATGATTTTCTGGTAAGTTGGGTTCTACTGTACGTGACTTTATGTTCTACTCATTAAGGGGAGATCTATTTTTCTATGCTTAATGATGCTGCATGTATGTTTAATTTTTAAATCACTCTCAAAATGCAATTTCTCCTAAATATGTTTAACGGGTCCGGCTCAAACTTCAACGCTTACAAATTCTTGATACCTCGTCGATGTTTAGGTATTATGCTCGATGATAGAGGTATCTATGTTAGCACGAGCACATCATTTATATTGAATTAATGGTCAATATGTGAATGAAAATGGGATCAATTCACGTTGTATCTGTATTGTGTAATTTATTCACGTTGTGTCAAGAAGGTTCATGATTGTATCCAAACCATACATCGTCTACAAAAAATAAATCCAAACATTAATCCATTAAAAACAAACAAACATCGAACAATAAACTTGAGTTATAAGTTTGAGATTTTAACCCTAAAAGCTAGGCCCGAAAAGCCCGACACATGTCCATACCATGTCATAAAGCCCGATCACTCCCACTATCTTTTGAAAACTCCTGGCAAAACCCTGAAAATCACAGCTAAAAGGTCAGACTTCAAAAGGCTTGGATTATTTTTATTTACAGAAAACGGACTTAAAAGACCTGGGTCAAACCCAAAAAAGCTCGGGCGTGCAATTTAAGTATCATCGGATACTACATCCTTTCAAGGATCAAAAATTGAAAGTCAACGACTAATTCTACTCCAAAATATCTCAATAATTGATGTAGTCGGCATATCGTGACTCATGTATCAACGGCTTATATGTTGGCTTCTTGTGTTTACTCCTCTTTTTGAATTTACTAATCTCGTTATGTTTTTCTGATTTTAGTTTCACCTATTTTGGTGATGGTCCCGTCATATTTCAGTCTAAATGTTTCACTAAAAACGTGACTGATACTATCATACGTGTATCAAACGCACTCTTACAGACAATAAATGGATCTCGACACGTGAATAGACCTTCAAAGTCCTTGGACCGGTCAAGATGGTTTCAATTTTGATTTGGTGGCATTTGACACGGACTCGTAACAAGAATAAACAAGTTTGTGTTATCGCGTAACGTCCAATGAATCTTTTTCGAATCTGAAAACCCGTTAATAATTGATTATGTTGTAGTAAAGAATGAACGAATGAATGAATAAAGTTAAGTAGTTCGATTGTTACAAAGAATCTCGTCAAACTATGAACTAAATATCCGAAGAACAATAATACGATCATCAAAAGTTGGATAAAAATGGTTTCTTGATGATCTTTCGGAGCATATTTCATCATCATCATCAACAAAAGCGATCCAATTGAATGATCATCACACTCGCATCATCCACGGATCCTCGAGAAGCAGAGAGTTCCACCAGCTTTTTGCAAGCTGAAACTGCTTCCGCGGATGCACAAAAGGGTCTAGCTATGTCAACTGCTTCTTGATTGCTGACTTTATCCCATAATCCATCGGAAGCCATGATCAAGAACTCGAATTCGGGCACGATTTTGAACATTTTTGTTTCGGGTTCGGATGTGATCCATTGTTTCAGGCTACGATCCCCAATTCCTCTTGAAACTGCTAGTGATCCAAGAACTCGGCAAACACCACGACTAGAATCCACATAACCACCCTGCAAATTACACCCAGAAAGATTCAGTAATCCAATTCGATAAATGGGTGATTAAATCTTGTTAAAAATGTGAAAATTGTGGTGGAATTCTTACCAGGGATTCGATTCTAAGCTTCTCGTCTTGTCTGGAAGGACGATGATCTGAAGTGAGGGCTTGGGCGGCTCCACCGTTGCTGACGACGGCACGGCAGTCGCCGGCGTTTGATACCACCAGATTTCCGGCTCTGATGATGGCGGTGACACAACAAGCTCCGCCGCGTTGTTCTTGCTTTAAAAACTCTGAATCTGTGTTTAGATAACCTTGTTTGATTGCTTCAACTATTTCGATTTCACCTCTCTTTTCTACTTCATCTTGAATCCTGATTTCGAGATTTTCTGCTGCAAATTCAGCTGCTTTTGATCCGCCATGGCCGTCGAAAACACCAAAGAATGCCTGAAAATTGAATCGGAAGAAGATATTAAAACCAGTTCCGATTAATTAATTCAACCCAAGAAAGCGAGAAAAACCCTAAAATTTCACAAGAAAATTACCTGTTTATTCTGTCCATTGAAGTTGACCACAGCTTTAAATCGATCTTCCATGGCTTCTCTCCTCCCTCTTTTACAATAAACCGAATACCCATCTTCCTCAACCTCCACCTCCTTCCACCGGTCCTCCGCCACCGCCGCTCCGCACGGCGTTGCCCGGTCGGAAGAAAATCCTGAAGACGACATCGGAATATCAAGCCTAGTGGGTCTCTTCCTTTTCAAAAGCGTCGGAGAAGTAGAAGAACAAGAAATGGGTGAATCCTCGTTAGAAGCCCTGATCAGACCGCTAGCCGACGGTGGTGGTTTCTGAAGACGGAACTTGAAAGACGAAGACGGTGAGATGGAGGAAGACGACGGCGCGTGGGTCAAAGTCAAGGATTCAGGAGACGATTTGCAGAAAATCGAAGAAGAAACTCTTGATGATGGTGAAAACACCGGCGAGTTTGAGATCGCAACGGTACACATTTTGGATTTTCAGATCTCTGTAACGTTCGAATTCTTGGTTGTCTGTTGATTCTTTTTTTTTTGATGAATTTTGATTAATGATTTGTTGAATTTATATGGAGATTTGGAAAGATAGTGGTCAAAGTGGGCCCCACATATTCCGTCTCCGTGTTAATGTTGCGTTCGATTCTTCTCATGGCTGTTTCCAGATTAACTGTAGACGGCTATCTTTTTTGGGACTAAATTGGCCCTCATTAAGTTCCCAATTTCTTCTGAACAAAAGTTTGTTTTTTTTATTAATCTGGATATACAATTCGTTATGCGAGTCGATTAATTTTAGGATGATCATATGTTTTGCAGATAACCCAGGATCAACGCATTTGAACCTCCGTGGCCACAAGAGGATTTTTATTCATTCTTGGATTTGAACCTGGGACCTGCAAGTACTTTTGACATTTAAAGTCAAGCTTAAACCAACCAGACACTACCTTAAAAAAAACAAATTAATTAATTAGCTTTTAAAAGTAATAAACTTTCATAATGTTTTTAAGTTAAATAGAAAACGTATTGATGTCAATATCACGTATCGTGCTTTATGTTTACATATGTACAAATAACGAACAATATTCCGTTTTGGGGTGTTTTTTTGGGATTTCAAGAATTTAAGCAAAATTATAATCTACTACTTTAGGTGTGTTTCGTACGTTTATGGACAAACTGAACTAGAGTAAAGGCATGTTTTGTTAGCAACTTAATAAGTTAAATTGATACACACAGCTTATTCGATCAACTATACATGACTGTTTGATAGTAGTTTAATGATATATAGAAAATGACTTGTTCAATAACTTTGCAAGGGAGCTTTATATAGAAAGTCAATTTTTTCATGGGATTAAAAAAATGATTGTTATCCCATTCAGTATTTTTCTAGTTATAGTTTAAATTGTCTGATCATATCTTATTATGTCCTGTGTACCAAATGTTCCCTTAGCATTACACAAGTTCCTCTTGTTCTCATCTTTAATAAAGTAGAAATATATATATATATATAGAGGGATGTTATTCTACACTCTTTGTCATTCCTACACTCTATACAACCCTCATCTCAACCATTCAATTTTTAATCAATTAATTGTTTCCTAATATAAAGTATTAATCATAATTAATAAACTCTATTCATATTCCATAAATATTCAAATCATAATAAATGAACTCCAATCATTTCTATAAATATCTCAATTAATTGGGTTGCAAAGGTTGTACAAATGCACAAGGTTGTAAAAGAAATATACCCTATATATATATATATATATAGTTTGTTTCAAATGCAACCCATCATATTTGTACAACCAATTCAACTCAATAAACTGAAATATTTATGGAAATGATGAGGGTTCATTTATTATGATTTAAATATTTGTGGAAGATGAATTATGTTCATTAATTATGATCAATACTTTATATTAGAAAATAATCAAAACTTCTATGAAATCACATATTAATCAAATTAAATGGACGGTTGAGATTAAGTTGTATTGGTTGTACAAATGTAAAGAGTTGTATAATATATATATATATATATATATATATATATAGAGAGAGAGAGAGAGAGAGATGTTGGTTATTATACAACCCTTTACATTTGTACAACCAATACAATTCAATCTCAACCGTCCATTTAATTTGATTAATATGTGATTTCATAAAAGTTTTGATTATTTCGTAATATAAAGTATTGATCATAATTAATGAACCATATTCATCTTCCAAAAATATTTAAATTATAATAAATAAACTCTCATCATTTCCATAAATATTTCAATTTATTGAGTTGTATTGGGTGTACGATGAGTTGTATTCGAAACAAACTATATATATATATATATATATATGTATATTAAAACATAAATTATTATGAAAAATGAAAGGGCAAAAGTGTCAAATTAAAAGATGGACCGGAGTGATGAATAGAATTTGGGCAACATGGCCTTAATATTATTAAAAGGTCAAACACGTTATTTGTACTAAGAGCTGAATAAAGGTTGGGTGTCTTTTCCTTTCTACCACACCAATTTTAACCAAATCCAGATCCATGCTTCTTCATTTACTTGTACATCACCTGATTGAATCTAGCAATTTCCACTCTGTTTAATTAATTATATTAAAGTTATTGATTCAATTAATTAATTGAGGGACAGATGGCAAGTTTTTAAGGGACTGGAATCTTGAAGGAAACTACATGGAAGGTTGGGTATACATCACACAATTATTAGTTGGTATCATTCACACATACGACGAGTTTGAAAATAATTGACGTGTGTTTTGGGGTACGATTCATATCCCTTTTAATGTAAAATATCACAACCCCAAACAATATTATTAAACAAAAAAACGAATGAAAAAAGTATAACGAAAAATTCGGTAAGCTACAGAACCAATCCGTATAATAGCCCGAGTCTTGAAAAAAGAAGCAAAACTGAGCGAAACCAGATAAATATAATCACAGCATCCCCTCGAAAACATCTGAGTTTCTAGTATGATTAAGAATTAGGTGTTTGGAGGATGGAAAGTTGGATATGGGATCTGTAGTTCTTGCGGGATAGAACCTTTTTTGATTCTTATTGAGATCGACCCGAAGACGCGAGCTTGAATTTTTACAAATCGTGTTTTGATGGATAGGGATTTTTTTAACTATAAATGATGTTACTGTGGTGATCATATAATATGTAGCTAGTGGCCAAAATAGATGTTTACCAAATCCATGATAGGCATGGCGAGAATGATTCTTCTCTATAAAGGCGAAGGAGTTTTACCGCCAAGCTTCCTAGATCACATGATACTTTTAGTTTGGTAATTGTTGGGATCTGAAGATTTGAGTATAGATTCAAGAACGGTTTTAGTGCAATGGCATCTACGATTAGGCAAGGAATGAGACCCGTCTAGTGAGAAACCCAATGTATCGTCCCGACGGTGCATTGGATTCCCCTCAAAACCAGGGATGAGATGGGGATCTAAAAATTAAAAACCAGCGATGGGGACATGGTCGGATAACGTGATCTCCGTCTCACTCCATCTCGTCCTCATTAGTATCTCTATAATCAATAATAAGTTTTACATATTTCAACTTGTCTCTCCTATTCTCTATTTTAACTTACACTTTAGCATAGTTACCGTTTTTCTCACTCATTTAACATAGTTATTGAAAATGCTCAAAATTTACTAAAATAAAGTATTAATGATTAATTTTTTTAAAAAAAAATTGCATCGTCACTCTATGTTGAGTTAGCAATAAGCTGCTTGTTTCTTAACACCAAATCAAAGGATATGTTAGCAAGGGAACATCCGTAATTTTAAATAAAATCTATCTACTTGTTTGAAATTCCTCAGACACATCAATATCATGTTTTGTTATTCACTTTTTCAATGCTTCGAACAAGAATGACTCGATCGAGTCCACAGAGACAAATGGAGCTTAACTAAAATGGTCATCCGATCCTCCTTCTGCATCATTCGTAATTAAAGATGTATACAAAAAGTCAACAAAACCAACTTTTTTCAAGACTCGATTAAAACTTAACATGAAAAAAAAACTCAAAAAACTAAAAGATCTACCTAAAAATGGGCATGCTTTTGTGATTGCCAAAAAACAAGTCTGGAAGGCCAAGGCTCTCGCAAGGGTTAAAATGACAACACCCGATGTTTAAAATAGCATGGTGCGTGACGTGATAACGAGATCAAGCCTCAAGATTTACACGACGTAGTGAAGTATGCCATTTTTTAAGACGTGACATAAGACGTTAAAGTTGTATATCATATACATAATTATATATATATATATACATATATATATACACATATATGTTTCTATATACTAAAGGGGTACTCGTGCAATGCACCGAGATAAATCTTTATTTTAATGTTTATTTTTATTCTTCTTTATCGATATAATATGATTTTACGTGGTTTTAGGAAAACGATAATGTTTTTATTTTTGAATAAAATATAAATTTGAAAAAAATAAATCGATATTTGTATCAAATTAACTATTTAATAATTCTCGTTTTCCGATGAAACTTCTTTAATTCAATTTTTTATTATGCATTAATTTAGATTTAATAACAAAATAATTTATTTTTGGTTTGTTAATATAATTTTTTATAAAGACAATAATTAAAAATTATGTTATAACTCAATGATTATTTTAATTATAATTTAAATATTCTATATTTAAAATGAATGTTTATTCTGTATTTGATTATGTTTATGTGCAGTTAGTTACACAAATTTAAAAATGAAGCTTTAATAAGTTGTAATTATGCAAAATTACTTATAATATTAAGTTTTAGAAGGGAAGGTTTGAAAAAGAATTGTTATTATAGATCAAAACTTTCTTCTAAAAGCTTAATGAACAAGTCTGTTTTTATGATATTAAACCACTATCAATCAATATAACTAACCTAATAAGTAGGGAGTTACATTAAACTCGTTAAACTACTAACAATTAAACCTTAAATGTACATAAATTATGTTCCATGTTTGTTAATTACTTCCTCCGAAAATTGGGACAAAAAATCAGTTATTCCAATTTATGATGAAAATTGTAATTAATAGAAATCATGATATTTCTCATAAATTGTTTAAAATTATCAACAATTTGTTTACAAGTGAGTAAATTGCATGAAAAAGTAATGTACTTTAACTTAATTCCTATTTTGGGTAACGTACTTTCAGAACTTCCATTTTGGTACCTAAGATGTAAAGTTTTAAACATTTAAGTACTCGTGTAACCAGTTGAAGCATTAACCGGTTACCATGTTGATGTGACGAGTGATGTGGTATCCAACTCAGTATTATTTGTTATTCAACCCAATTTCATCCCATCACTCGATACATCAGCATGGTAACCAGTTAATGCTTCAATTTCTGAAAGTACGTTACCCAAAATAGGAATTAAGTTAAAGTACGTTACTTTTTCATGCAATTTGCCCTTTACAAATTACAAAGATATTTATAGATTACATTTCAACTATTTCTACTTTTTGTAATTTATCTT